ACACAAATAAATACACACAAATAAACAGATTCCCCATGTTTTCCCATATTTTCTGGGTTTTTGTTTTCCCCCCCACTTCCCATATTTTCCCATATTTTCTGGGGAATCGCCGATTAATTGTGTCTGTGTGTTTCTTTCCCTCCTGGACCATTTAGTGAAGAAGCAGGGCCCGGATCCAGGAAAAGGGGCCCTCGCGGAGTCGAGAGCGCCACTCTGAGCGACACGGGAGCGGCGCGCCGATCCGCAGACGAGGACCGCGCTGCACAGCGGAAGCACCATCTTGCAGCACCGACCAAAGAGAACAACTCGATGCTGAAACGCAGTAATTAAGGGAAACAGTCTTGAACTCCTGCGCAAAAAAGAAAACATTACGCGGAGGGGGCGGGGAATCGCCTGGACAACCTCAGAGATCTGTGGGAGGAGGGAGAGTATCGGCGGCGAGCGAGGGGGAGAGACAAGAAGGAGCAGGCCCTCTCAGAAGGCGGCGGCGTGGCTTCTCGGAAGCGCTCCGACCTCCTGAGAAGTCTTCTGCGTCTTCGGGGAGGACTCAGGGAACTTCTCAGCAGGCTGGGCGACTTCCGAGCCCTCTGAGAAGGCCCGCCCCCTCTCACTTTCCCCCTCGCTCGCCGCCAAGTAAGAGTGACCCTTCGCCGAGGTGATCTCTGGTGCGGGCCCACTGGGGTCCCCGATCGCCGTACGCGAGGCGGCAGTGGCGTCTTGCGCGCTTGTGTTTGCCCCCCCCCCCCCAGAGCCCCCAACAAGCCGCGCACCAAAGGCCCCCCTGGGCTTGCCGCCGAGAGTAGCAGTCATGTAGCTTGATTTGGTGGGGTGGCACCGCGGAGAGACCGAGGAGCAGGAAGGGGCACACGACTCGGGGTGCCCAAAGGAGGAACACACACACACACACTTCTCGGGGAGCTACTGACCTGGGTCCATCCAGACCCGGGTCAGTCAGGCCTTGCAAGATCCTGCAGGATCCTGTAAAATCCGGCGCTCTGGCTGACCCCTGTTTGCACTGAACCCCGTCTCTTGAGCCCCAGCACAATTCATGGTCTGACAGAAGGGGTCCGAGTGCTCTACAGGCAGGCCTGCCTGGCGTTCTTCGCTTGCTGTCCGTGCAGGCCCGTCCGATACCGTCGCTTGCTTCTGGGGGCATCGCCATTGCCATCGCTCGGACGTCCATTATCTCTGCATGTTTTGACTTCGTGCGTGTTTGCTTTGCCAGATGAGCCAGGATGCTCATCGATGGTCCTCGCCGACAACAATGCACACGTCCGAGCGATGCCAAGGGCATCGCCCTGGCTTTCTTAGGGAGAGACTTTGTGCGTGACCAAGGCTCCTCGAGTAGAGCAAGACTTTGACTCTAGCAGCGGGGCTTATGCACTGGGCTCCTGCTCCACGCGTTGTCGTCGTCGTTATCCTCCTCCTCCTCATCCAGATATTTCTCAATCCGCCTCCTCATCCTGCCCCCCATCCCACTCCTGCTGCTCTGCGTCCTCCCCCTCATCCTAACTCCTCCTCTTCCTCCTCCTCCTCCTCCTCCTTCTCCTCCTGCTCCTCCGTCTGCTCCTATTCTTCCTCCACTGGTCCTCTTAATTCTTCAAATCATCCCTCCCTCCCCTTCCTCCCTCCCTCCCAGAGCTCCTCCTGGAGGAGCTCCTGCGGGCTTAGCCATGCCTTCCTGGACCCGCCCCTGAGCTCCAAGCGTGGCCGGAGCGAGCAACGGACGGGGCGGCCCCGCGTTCCTCATCCCCCCGCCCTCCACCTCCTTCCCTCCTCCTCCTCCTCCTCCTCCTCCTCCTCCTCCCCCTCCTCCTCCTCCTCCTCCTCCCCCTCCTCCTCCTCCCCTCCTCCCTCCTCCTCCTCCTCCTCCCTCCTCCTCCTCCCCCTCCCTCCTCCTCCCCCTCCTCCTCCCTCCTCCTCCCCCTCCTCCTCCTCATCTCCCTGCTCCTCCTCCCCTCCTCCTCCTCCTCCTCCCCCTCCTCCTCCTCCTCCTCCTCCTCCTCCTCCTCCTGCTGCTGCTCCTGCTCCTCCTCCTTCCTCATCCCCGCTCCTCCTGCCCGCGCATGCCTCCTGCCGCTTGCTCCTCCCGCTCCGGCGCAGGCGGCCAGCATGCCCAGCACCGGTCAGCACGCACGAGGGCGGGACGAGGGCCAGGCACGGTGCCCCGAAGGGGCGGAGGAACAGCAGCAGGAGGAGCGACGCCCGACGACGCCCGACGCTTCGACAGCAACGGCGACGGCGACGGCGACGGCGACGGCGACGGCGACGGCGACGCCCGACCGCGCCCGACGACGCCCGACGCGTCGACGACGACAGCAGCCGACGACGACGGCGACGACGCCGCCCGACGACTCCCGACACGTCAACGACGACGGCGCGAGAGCAAGTCCCGCGCGAGAGTGCAATTCAGGAAATTTGTGAAGAAGTACGAGAAGGGAGCCGCTGTTGTTGGAAACTGAAGCCCAACAACACAGTTTGGTGACACAAAGCTTCCCCGTATAAAAAATGAGGTGCGAGCCCAGGGAGAAGCACATGGCTTGAAAAAGTACAGTGGTAACTGGAGGGGCATCAACAACAATTATCCCTTCGAAATCATAATTCCATCATCATTTTAAGACTGCTCGCTCTTACCTGCTCGCGTGCCATTCACCACGTATATCCCAAACCCTCGGTACCCGCCCTCTTCGGCCTCGATCGTACCCCCTTAGGGTACTGTATATCTTTCTTACCTGACGCGTGTAATTGGTGCAGCCCCTGAAAGATGGGAAGAGAGGACGGATGGAAGGGGGAGGGAGAAGAATGGAGCACATGATTCGCAGGAGGGGGGCTAGGAGCAAAAAAAAATACGCGGTAGAACCAAACGGGCCCATTGGGCGGGTAGACCCTAAAGGGGGGGTCGGGAAGGCGGGCCCAAGCGGCCAGGTCGAGAAGGCGTGTTGCCGAAGCGTGCGTCCTGCATGAATCGCGAGGAGAGCTCGATCGATAGCGCGATTCCCAAGTAAATCGTGAGGAAGGCCACAGCGAGAGCGTCAATCCTGAGTGTCGAGGGCGCGGCGCCTGAATAGATTGTGCGGAAGTCCCACGCGAAAGCGAGACTCCTGAATAACTTGTGAGGATGTCCCGCGCGAGAGCGCGAGTTTGGAATAACTTGTGAGGAAGTCTCAGGCGGGAGCCGCTGTTGCTGTTGCCGCAGTTTGGTGACACCAAGCTTTCTCTGATACCAAAACTGATGCGAGCCCCGAGGGGAGGGCACTTCAATTGAAAAAAGTATTTGTTTCGAGCGATCCCCACAGAAAACTTGGGCCCCTGTCCTCCTCATCCTGCCCCATGCCTCCTTCCCCTCCTCCTTTTTCCCCCCTCCCATCCTTAGACTGAGGGGCGCAGGCGAAGAGGCCGCCCGCAGGGGGGCGGCGGCAAGGACTCGGGGATTCTCGGGACAACTGGGGGTCTGGCCTGGTTTTGGTTTGTTCTGTGATGTTATCTTGTGCTCTGGTTTGGATTGTTCTCTGGTGGCCTGTGGTTCTCTGTTATGTGACGTTCTGTTATGGTTTGATATGTGACGTTATGTGGCGCTCTGTTCATGCTATACATTGTGTTGGCATCATATGGCATGCTATGTTCTGTTATGTTGTATCATGTATATTATGTTGTGCAAATTGTGATGATGTGGTTTGTTATGTGATGTTATGCCATGGCCTGGTGTGTAATGAGACTGCTCATGGTATGCCATGATCGTGTTTTGTTCTGGTATATTATATTGCGGCGTGTTGTGTCATGTCGTGCTTGTCGCTATGCTCTGCTGACGTGTTATGACATGGTCTGGACGCTGTGTCGTGACATGGTATGTTCCGCCAAAGTGTGTTATGGTATGCTCGGTCCTAATATGATATGTTGTGCTATGTCGTGTTATGGTCTGCAATGCTCTACCATGGTACGTCGTGTGGTGTTATAGTATGATGTAATGTGACATGAGCGGTTACAATGTGTTATGACATGTTTGGTATGTGGCGTGATGATGAGTGATGATGTCTCATGGTATGCATGTTCCTGTCATGGAATGTCATGATGTGTTATGTTATGACGTGGTATGTATACTATGGTGTGCTACTCCGTCATGGTATGATAAGGCATGTTATGGTATGGTATGACATGGTCTGTGGTGTAGTGATACTGCCATGTGATGTCCCGTCATGTTCTGTCATGATCGTGGTTTGTTATGTTATAGTATAGGTGTGGCATGGTGTGTTATGTCGTGTTCGTCGCTATGCTCTGTTGGTGTGTGATGGCATGTTCTGAACGCTGTGTCCTGAAATGAGATATTCGGTCAATGAGTGTTATGTTGTGCTCAGGTATGGCATGGTATGGTGTGTTATGTCGTGGTATGTTCTGCAATGTGTTGCCATGATGTGCTTCGTGTTGTTATATTACGCTGTGTGTGTGCCATGGCCTTGCTATGTAATGTTCTGTCATGTTATGTTGTGGATTGCTGTGTTTTTCGTGTTTGTCGAAGGCACGAGACAGGACTTCCAGAGGCTCGGGGACTCTCAGGACAACTTGGGGTCTGGCGGCCGCGGTATGCAGTCGTGTTTGTTGAGGGCGCGAGGCGGGAGTCCCAGGGACTATCGGGGACTCTCGGGACAACTTGGGGTCTGGCGGCCGCGGCATGCAGTCGTGTTTGTCGAGGGCGCGAGGCGGGAGTCCCAAGGATTCTCGGGAACTCTCGGGACAACTTGGGGTCTGGCGGCCGCGGTGTGCGTGGGGTTGGCCGGGTGGGTCTGTTTTTGAAATCTAACAACCCCGAGGGGGGATCAACAGCACCTACAACGACAGCAACGACAACCACATCGACGAGGACCAGCAATACAACGAGGAGGAGGAGGAGCACGACGGCGACAACGCGGACGACGACGACGACGAAGACCACGAAGGTGACGACGACGCGAGCACGGGCGGCGTCGGCGTCGGCGGCGACGACGACGAGAACGACGGCGCGGATCCTGGTCCACACGTCGTCCTCCGCGACGTAGTTCGGCGAGGCCTCCACGAACGACACCCTCGGCTTGTACACCTTCTCGAGCGGTGGCGGCGCCATGCCGACGGGGAGGAGCGCGGCCGCCCAGTTGGCGTTGGCCTCCTCGGGGTCGGCGGGGAGGGGTGTCGTCGGCATCGGTGTCGTCGTCGTCGTCAAAGTCGTCGTCGTCGTCGTCGCCGACTTCGTCGTCGTCGTCCTCCTCGTCGCCGTCGTCGTCGCAGAGTCGGGTTATTCTTACTGGTCGTCAACCTCTCTTCCTCGTCCTCCTCCCTCCTCCTCCTCATGCCTTCCCTCCGTTCCTCCTGCTGGGTGGGCCTCCCTCCTCTTGGGAACTGCTCTTTGCCCTTCCTGAGAGGCCCAGCGGCCTGGGCCTCCCAGGGAGCCTCCCGAGGCCCCCAAGGTGTTTCCTGGCCCCTCCCGGGGGCCCCCCCCGAGACCTTCCGGGGCCTTCTGGGACATCCTGGGGGAGGGGCAGGAAGGGATGGAAGGAGGGAGGGAGCAGAGCGAGGGGGACGGAAGAGGGGCGTGGAGGAGCGAGGAGAAAAAGGAGCAGGAGGATGGAGACCGAGGGGCTGGAAGAGGAGGCGGGGAGGGGTGAAGGAAAGAGCTGATGATGATGATGATGATGATGATGATGATGATGATGATGATAATGATAATGATAATGATAATGATAATGATGATGATGATGATGATGATGATGATGGTGATGATGATGATGATGATGATGATGATGATGATGATGATGGTGATGATTATGATGATGATGGTGAGGATGATGGTGTGAATGGTGATGGCTATGCTGATACTGATGCGGCTGCTGTTGTTGGCTGGTAATGGCGGTGGGGATGATGATACTGATGGTGATGATGATCATGATGTTGATGTTGTCGATGATGATGCTACGATGGTGGTGGCGATCGTGGTTGTACTACTGATGGTGAAACGATGAAGCTGATGATGGTGACGATGATGGTGATGGCGATGATGATGATGGTGGTAATGAGAATGCTGATGATGATGATGATGATGATGATGATGATCAAAGGTGATCGTGATGACGATGGTATTGATGCTGATCATGGTGTTGATGACAATGATGTCGGCAACGAATAGGGGGAGGAGAGAGAGGCCAGGGTCCCACAGGGCGGGGCAATGCCGCATGGCGCAGCCATCGCTGGTCAGCTCAATGCAGCAGTCGCAAGAGCAGCTTCGGCAAGAAGCCGAAGATGATGGTGATGATGATGATGGCAATGATGATGATGATGACGATGGTGATGGTGATGGTGATGGTGATGGTGATGGTGATGGTGATGGTAGTGATGGGTATGTTGATGACGAGGGGATGATGGTGAGTGCGATGATGGTGAAAGCGATGGTGATGATGACGACGGCTAGGATGAATATGATTATGGTGATGATGTTGATGGTGGAGACGATGATGATGGTGATGATGCTGATGGTGGTGGCGATGGTGATGGCGGTGATGGTGATGGTGGTGGTGAATATAATGATGATGGCGACAATGACGATGCCGATGGTGATGATGATGATGATGCTGATGATGAGAATTGGTGATAATGACTGCGATGCTGGTAATGGTAATGGTGCCGATGATGGTAAGGATGACGCTGGTGATGATGATGATGATGATGATGACGATGATGAGGCTGGTGGTGATGGTGCTGATGACGGCGACAGGGGTGGTGGTTGTTCTGGTGGTTGTGGTGGTGACGCTGATGATGATGACGACGATGATGCTGATGATGGTCAAAATCATGATGATGAACATGATGATGATGAGAGTTATGATGATGGTTGTGCTTTGATGATGGTGATGATGATAACGATGACCATGACGATGGCGATGGTGATGGTAATGATGATGATGACGATGATGGAGAAGCACCCCCCCCTTGTTTGTCATGAGAGCCTTCAAGACTGAATCGACTCGGCCACCCTCGCTGGTCCCACCTGTATACCTTGCGTCTGGCAGACATATGGAAATGATCTCCTGAAAACCGAGTTTGGACACAGCCATACACGCCTTTGGTATGCAATCCAATCGTGACCTCATTCACGGACGACCAGGACGAGGAGGGAGGGAAGGGGTGAGGGAAGGGGAGGCGGAGGATCCAACCGAATGGAAGGGGGGTCGCTGTTCCCCCAGGAGGCTGGAGGCTGGCAGGGAGGGAGGAGGAAACGAGGGACGAGGGTCAGGAGGGAGGGAAAACGGAGGGCAGAGGGGAGAGGGGTCCAGGGAGGAGGACCAGCAGGAGCATAGGAGTCCCCGAGGACTGAACAACTCTCCTCCGATCGACTCGCGGGGGTCAAGCAAAGTGAATCGAAGCGAATCCGTCCAAATCTGTGCCAACCCAGACACAGTGCCAAAAACAAGCCCGAAAATGCACAGGCGGGAATCTGGAGCACATCGTGGACAGGAGGAGGAGGAGGAGGAGGAGGAGGAGGAGGAGGAGGAGGCGCGCGTAAGGGGGTATGGGCAGGGGGGAGAAGGCTTCTTAGAAACACCCCCTGCTTCTCAGAAGGCGCCAGCCCTGCGTGCACAAGTAGGCCAGGTGGGTCCTCCTGCAGGCTGCTTTCGGACGAAAAAGATCGACAGCGATCAAACAGAGCAACAAATCGCCCCCAGACTATTTCTGCCTCTCTTTGAATCTATCCGCCTGTAGAGCGACGTGCCCGGGCCTCCCGAGAAGCAGCCTCCTGCTGAGCAGCCTGCCCCCCTCCCTCCACCTGCCGCCCCCCCCCTCCGCCTGGCCGGAGAGGCACCGCGGCAGCCGTGGATGAAGGGGCCCTGGGACACTCGAATAAACACAGATAAATGACAGGATGCCCTGTAGTTCCCCACATGTTCTGGGTTTTCGTCTTCCCCCCCGCTTCCCATATTTTCCCATATTTTCTGGGGGATCGACGATTCACTGTGTCTGTGTGTTGTCTCCCCTCCTGAGGTGGAGCCCTCGGCGAGGGAGCCCGCAGCGAGGCGGGGGGCCACTGGGGGGGGGCCGAGGGGCGCCGGCAGGGAGAGCGGGGCCCGCCGCCGCGCGCCGCGCGCCCGCGCGCCGCGCGCCCGCGCGCTGCCGCCCCGCAAGAGAGCGCCCAGCATCGGAGCGATACAAGTCGGATCGGCGATCGCCATGACTCCAGGGGCCCAGGGCCACACCAATAACCCCAGGAAGCATTTGAGAGACCCCCCGGCGATATCGTAGCGCCGCATGTTTTGTTCGATATTCCGAGGGGCCGGAATAACCGAACGATAGCTGTAGCACCCGGACACGATGATGATGATGATGATGATGATGATGATGATGATGCTGATGATGATGATGATGATGATGATGATGCTGATGATGATGATGATGATGCTGATGATGATGATGATGATGATGATGATGATGATGATGATGATGATGATGCGGATATGGATGATGGTGCGGAAGGGTTGTCGATTTGCCGGAGGGGGGGGTTCTTAAATGCTTCCTGGGGTTAAATACACACAAATAACCCAGCATCGGCGCGTTAAGAGTCGGATCGGCGGTCGGCGTGACAGCTTGCCAGCCCGGAGCAGATTCCTATCCCCATGCTGGGCATCTCCTCCTCACGATGCCAATCTTAGGGATCCCCTCATGTATTGAGGGCGCATCCCTAAGACTGTCATCGCTTTTTGGCGTGTCGATCTCAGGGATAGGGATAAGTTCGAGGCTGGTAAGATAGGGGGCCCACAAAGGACGTACGCGCCCAGCTATGTACCAGAGCACGGCCCCTCGCTCCGCGAGACTGGCCGCGCGATACAAACCTTCGGGCAATGCGTACGCTCGAAACCAGCGTGGATGCATGTACGTGTGCGTCCTTCTTTCGCTCCTGAAATGAGGCGGACCGGCGAAAATCGGCAGCCGAGTCGGGAAGGGGCGAATCGGCGGAAATCGGTCGGCGGGCGAGTGTGCCTCCAATATGAAATACATCGGAGCCCAAATGTCGGAGGCCGAGGCCGAATCGGAAGCGAAATCTCGGAGGCCCTCGAGGTCGAATCGCATCGAGCCGGAGGAGAATCGAAGCGGGCCCTGGCCCATGCGGGAGGCCCGGGGCCTTGCTCAGCTCGTACTCGAGGACGCGGGAGTCGGCCGCCTTGCGCTCCTGAGCGGGAGGGGGCAGGGCCCGGGGCAAGGACGAGGGCACAGTCGTGGGGGGGGGCACCAAGGGTGGGGTTAGGGCCAAGGTGGGTTTGGATTATGTTACTCCCATCGTACTCGTCGGGAGCGGCCAAAAGGGGGGTGTCCAAGAGGGGTGCAAGTCATGGCTGGCGGCATGTGCGCGGCCCAGCGGGGGGGCAAAAGACGGAATGAAACAAGAAGAGACGCCATGAAATCTGGGGAACTATCATGGCCCCCGACATGATATCCACCCCCCTAGTCCTCACCCACCTCTCTGCCGCCCCCGAACTTGAGGACCACATCCAGACATAAATTCGAGCACCCGGAAAAGTGTCGAAAGAGTGTCGAAAGAGTGTCGAAACAGTGTCGGACGAGTGTCTCCCAGGGCCCGACATGTGAGAGTCCTCCAGTTTCGGAACTTTTCTGGTGCTCGAAAGTCTTTCTGGTGATCAAGGCTAAAGTAGGTTGGAACATCATAAGGTTTGGAGGGAAAGTCGCTTCGAACAACCCCTGGAAGGAGGAAACGCGTTACACGGGAGCGTCCAGCGGGGCCCGTTCCCCAGCCCTACCTTGGGACAACCCTCCCTCTGCGACCCCCCGAAGCCGGGCGAAGATCAGTCGGGACCTGGGAGTCGGCCGCCCTCTGCTGCTGAACGGGAGGGCAAGACGGAGCCAGGACGAGGAAAACACTCGGGCGAAGGTCGTGGGACGCACAAAGACATACCAGTGGTATACGATCTCCTTGGGCGCGCGCGTCCGACCCGAACATAGAGCGCACCAATATTGTAGTATCTAGTTTGTTTGTTTGCGGGGGGTGGCCAGACAGCGCTCGCCACGACGTATATTCTGAAAGAGTTCTCCGTGCGCGCGTCGCACCTGGGAGGGGCCACGCACACATAGCATTAGTATGTTAGGGCGACGCCGAAATCGGTCGAGAATCTCCGAGATCCGGCGGCTCTGGAGGATGTCATCGGGCGTGGCGGCCTTCCCAGAGCGTTCTGGGAACCCTTGGGACGGAGTTATCCTCGGCCTGGCCCCGTCCGGTGGGAGAGTGGGAGGGGGGGGGGGCTTCTTAGAGGGAGGCTGCTTCTCAGAAGGCGCGGGCCTCGCATCTGCAGACGAGGCCAGACGAGGCCCGCGCCTCCTGAGAAGCAGGGGCCTCCGAGAAGCCCTCCCCCCTCTCCCTACCCTTATCCCCCTACCCTTAGGTCGGGCATGTCCCCCTACAGGCGGATCTTGGACGAAAAATAAAACATTGTCAACAAATGCGCCGACAAATATTTCAAAAAATGCAAAAATCGTCTCCATATTATTCTTCGACTTTTTCTGAATATCCCTCCTGTAGAAGGCCCATCCAATTTAAACCTAACCCCTCCTCTGCGCGCAGCCGACGCTCGTCGACGCGGTGACTGCGCGCAGACCCGAAAACCAGAGGAGCAACGCTGCTCTGTCCCGGCCGCCTGGGGCGAGGAGCAGCTGAAGGGGCAGGCCCCCCAGGCACTTTGGAGGAGGAGGAGGAGGAGGAGAAGGAGGAGGAGGAGGAGGAGGAGGAGGAGGCGCACTCCAGCGGCACTGAGTTGGAGGAGGAGCAAAAGGAGGAGGAACAAAAGGAGGAGGAGCAGGAGGAAGGAGGAGGAGCGGAGGGCGAAGAAGGGAGGAGGAGAGGAGGGAAGGAAGAGGAGGAGGAGGAGGAGGAGGAGGAGGAGGGATGAGGAGGAGGAGGAGGAGGAGGAGGAGGAGGGAGGAGGAGGAGGGAGGAGGAGGAGGAGGAGGAGGCCAAAATCGGAGGGGGGGGGCCCTGCACCGGCCGACCCCCTCCTCCCGGGTGCTGCCACGGGCGTCCCTGGCCCGAGGCGCCCCCCCCCCCCGGGAGCTCCCATACAGGAGGCCCCCCGCGGCCTCCCATAGGAGCCCTCCTCGCGAGGCCCCGAGGGCCCCCCCGGGGCTCCCACCTGGAGCGAGGAGCGGCTTTCGGCAGTGTTCGGCCTCCGGGGGCCCTCGCCGGGCCTCGGGAGCGCCAACAAGCGATTCGGGACGAAAAGCCGGTCCCGGGGAGCTGGTCCAGCCCTCCTGGGTCCACGCACCAAAATAAAATTGGAGCAGGCGGATGTCTGGGTCAGAGCAGGAACCCTGGGCGCCCGAGCTTTCGGGGAGCACGGGACCGCCTCGACACCCAAGAAACCCAGGGGCTCCCGGGGCACCGTGGGCCATACTGCAGGGGCCCGACCACAGGACACCTTCCACAAGGAGCCCGGCCCTGAGAGCCCGGGACGTCCATGGATTCTGGGCGCGGGAACGTCGCGCTTTGGTTCCGTAGCAGAACCATCGAAACCCGAGAAGCCCCGGGCACTCTGGCGGCAGGCAAGGTGCTTACTGGCATGGGTCTCCACTGTGGGGGCACCTCTTAGCCTCAGGTCGGGCGTGTCCTCCTACAGGCGGATTTCGGAGGAACAATCGAAAACAGTCAACACCTGCCCCAAAAGAGTCAAAACATGATCGAAACATCCTCCCCAGACTGTGTCTTACTCTTTTTTGGATATTCCCCCTGCAGAGGGGCATGCCCGACTTCCGCTTCGCCCCCCGATCCTCCGACGTCGCTCCGCTCCGTGCCAAGGCCCGCCACAGGAAAGCCTCGGTGCCCTTCCCAGGGGGGAGCCTTGCCGTCGCTCGGACGTCCACTTCCCGTGCATTGTTCGGTTTCGTGCGTGTTTTTTTACCTAACAGCGAAGACTGATAGGTTTCTAGTGGGATCAAAAGAGAGCAGCAGATCACTCCACAGGGGGGTCCGGGCAGGTGTTGGGAGTTGCCGGGCGGCAGGTGCCGGGCTCGTTTTTCACCAACAGTCACACACTTCGTGCTCTTCGACTTCCCAGAACTCCATTCCCAGGCCACATTCTCAATACCCGGATGCAACAGTCACACACTTCGTGCTCTTCGAGATCCCAGAACGCCATTCCCGGGCCACATTTAGAATAACCGGATGCAACAGTCACACACTTCGTGCTCTTCGAGTTCCCAGAACGCCATTCCCGGGCCACATTTAGAATAACCGGATGCAACAGTCACACACTTCGTGCTCTTCGAGTTCCCAGAACGCCATTCCCCCGGCCACATTTTGGATGCCCGAGCCAACTGTAGGCCACTTCCTGGTCTTCGAGTTCCCAGAACTCCATTCCCGGGCCACATTTTGAATGCCCGGAGCCAACTGTAGGCCACTTTGTGCTCTTCGAGTTCCCAGAACTCCATTCCCGGGCCACATTTTGAATGCCCGTAGCCAACTGTAGGCAACTTCGTGCTCT